TATATATTAACATTCTCTTGGATTATGTTAGCTTCGGCTTCAAAATAAAACTCTCTGAGTTGGCAGAAACAGCCCTTTACAATGACAACCCAACTCATCCGAATTAGGACTGAGGTAATACAATTATACAGTGGAAAAAGATCAAAGGCAACGAAAATCAATAGATGTCATAATAATATGTGCATAATTTATCGAATCTGTGAAAGAATTTATTCCATGTGAGTGGTTGGCGGGTGCTCTGGTGTTGTTTGCTCCAGTCTTGATCCCCCTGATGTTGTTAGACAATAGCTCGAGCTGTGTCTGGTTTTGTTTACGTTGGTGTGTAATGATGTATTTACAATGTTGTAGTAGAGTAAATTATTTTGTAATTTTGTGGCTGGTTGGCGGGTGCTCTGGTGTGGTTTGCTCCTTCTTTCCTATAAAAAATCAATCGTCCTGATCTCTCCTCCTTCTTTTTATGTTTGTTACTCTCTTGTAACATCTCTAATCTTCGGCACTTACATGACCTTATTGTGTTGCAAGTGCCGAAAAACTCTTACTAAAACTAGAAGAAAGAAAAACTATTTCCAATGTTGCAGCATGTGAGGCAGCGTGGTGGAATCAGGCTCTCGTCAGTTTTTGGGCATGTAGAGTTATTGGTATCATCTTAAAGCTTGTTCACTTGTCTTTATTTGGATGAAAAAATATTCATTTATCTTGAATACAAGTTGAGATATTTGCGAAAGAAGTTGGTGGGGGTCACCTGTTTTCAGAGGTAAAATTAGTGAGAAAATGGCCGCCAAAGATTAGTTATTTCCTTAGCTTAAGACTCCGTGGTAACCGAAAATTTACATTTTTTGTGCGTTTAATCAACGTTTTTCAGAAAGGAAAGGAGTTGAGCCAAAAAACAAAAATTTGATAAAAATTCACAAACCTGCGGAAAAAGGCACATTTCTTCACTTTGATTGTTTTGACGAGAGCCTGATTCCACCACGCTGCCTCACGCCCATAGTAAACTATTTCCCATGTTGTAACAGGGTAAAAAAGTAGTTTGGTGGCGTCGGTGGCCTACTGATTAGGCTTTCAGACTCGCAACCGTAAGGGCGTGGGTTCGATTCCCATTCAGGGAGCCGACGTTGTGTCCTTGGGAAAGGCACGTTATACATTTTTTCCTCACTTCACCCAGGTGGGAATGGGTACCCGGCTATAGAGAGTGGAAGATCTTGTTAGTTTGTTAGTTTTTTAGCGCATAATCAGCTGCTCTCACTGTATGCTTCCCGGGAAATTGAGAATAATAGAATATTTCTGAGTGTTCTATGGTCTGTTGGGGTAATAATACAGTGAAAAGCGTATAGAGCGTGCTGTAGAGTGGGGTTATGCGCTATACAAATGCAATTTAATATCATTATTAGTTCCAATCTCGTATTATAACAGGGTGCTCCGCGAGTTAGCTCAGTGGGCATCTTTGTCATCGACAACACATTTATAACTTGATGATGGAGTTTTCTAGCTCTGCCGTTGACAACTTCTGCACGACATCCCACGCAAAGCGGATGTCCTCTATCTCGCTGCGAGCTGAGCAGACGCAGAAACGGAGGAAGACCACGCCCTTGAATGTGGCTGTGCGCAAGTGCAGACGACCGTCCGCGCGTAGCCGCTCCCTCAGAGCCAGGTTCAGAGAGTTGCTCCCCTTGAGGCGGAAGCAGACGACACAGACGGTGACCTCCCCAACAATCTCGAACCTCCTGTCTTGTTGAACCAGCTTCCGGAACTCATGGGCAAGGACGATGTCCTGGGAAAAGAAAACAGTTGAAGTGATTGGATGGGGAAAGAAAAGAGTTGAAGTTGAAGTGATTGGTCTGTCCTTGGAGTTTATGCACCACGCATGTTTTTTTTAGCTAAATTTGATCATTTTTTGCATAATTTCTGATTATTTTCCTTTATCATTCTTTGTTGAAAATAACAGAATCGCATAATTCCACACTTTTAGGATGATTTTGTATAATTTCATTTTTTTGTGGTTTAAAACCGCGTGGAGAGATTGGTTAGTTTTTGGGCACTCTTCGGGAGAAGTTGTCCCTGCCTAACTCCATAGAAATTTATACATGTATATATATTTATATATATATTATACACACGATCGGAAACAAAAAACGGAAATTGAGTAAAAAAGCTGTCTGAGTTGCTACTATGGAAAGACCACCGGTAAATTTATAGAAAAGGTCCAAAAGGCATTCTAGATTATTTTTCGGCACTATTTTACCGTTTATTAGTGTGCTGAGAACGATTTTTACACTGAAAACTACCACAAACTATTATTATCATAGTTAATTTCGAAAATATCGAACATAACCCCCCCCCAAAAAAAAATTAAAAAATTAATAAGTTTACTTGACTTCCGTTTTTGCTTCCTATTGTGTACACTTACAGACTTTAACCATGGCGCTCATACGACCTTATGTAGTTGCGAGTGCCGCAAAACACTTACTAGAACTAAAGACTTCAGCAAAAGTTCAGGACCACTGGCAAAAAACACCCTGAGTGGTCTTCTTGGGTCGACCTGCACGTGGGAGTTCTTGGACTGATCCAGTGGCTTGATGGCGCTGCCTCAAGTGGAAAATGACGGAGTGTGACACTGCAAACCTTCTGGCAAATTCTAGGGCTCCAACTCCATCCTGAAGCCATGCCAGAGCTTTGGCACAATCAAAGTCTCTTAGCTTTCGTCTCGGTGGCATCTTGAATCGACACTGGATTTTGCGCAAACGGCGGCTTATATTACCATCAAAGTAAGCACAGTTCGAGACTGTGCGTCCATTTATCACGTGCACCAGAAATCCTAAATGAGGAATGTCCGTGGTGTTGCACACAAGTCGATAAAAAAGAGAAAATTTGGCTAAAATTCCCCGTGGATTTCCGTGCTGCATGTGGTGGTTTTGCCCCTTTAAGAAGCTGTGCAGTACGCACTGGTAACCCGTTAACACTTTCAGAGCAAAACAAATTTGAAACATGTTTTTGCTGTCTTTTTTTTTTGAATATTTAAAAAATCAGGGCTGTCTGTCAAGGTGGTCCTTAGCTTATGTTGAAGTCTGTACATGTATATACTTATGTTGAAGTCTGTATGTACTTTTTTATGGAGTTAGGCTGGTACCCATTCTTCCGAGGGGGCTCTCGTTGCCTAGAGGTTAAGGTGTTGGCCTCTCATTCGAAAGGTCCCGGTTTCGAATCCGGGTAGCGACCGAAAAATTTTCTTCTCTAAAATTGTCTCTATTTCCACTTTCTGCCCCCACCCCCTCACCTCCTTTGCCCCCTCCTCTGGGCTCCTGACTCTTTCTGCAGCCTTTCTACTGCTACTCCTTGGCTCCTCCTAACTGCTGTCTTTCTGCCATACCCCTGATCTTCTGGTAGGAAAAATCTACACCTAGCCTTCTCTGACAAGGGCGAAAAATCTCGGAGAGCCCGTGTGCAAGTTGCGCACGTTAAAGATCCCTTGGTGGTCTAAAATCGATAAGAATAGGCTTCGGCCGCCACCCGGGCAAAATTCAAAATTTCCTACCAACTGAAAATTATTAGGTGTGTCCCGCGCGCTCATATGACCTTATGCAGTTGCGAGCGCCGTAAAAACACTCACCAAAAAAACAAAAACAACAACAACAAAAATTCTTCCGAACAGTGCCTGTTTTACAATCTACAGATCTAGTGCGCTCAAAAATTCGTGGCGCATGTCAAATATTTCCTAAATTATCGGTCATAAACTCTCCAGCTTTTGCATTATGACTTGTATCAATTTGTCGTAACTGATCAATATTTTTGTAAACATCTGTTAGGTGTATTCTAGAAAATTCCTTAATAAAGACGAATAAAAAATCCAAGCGGGTGGTTTCTACAGATTTTGAAAGGTTTACAACTGAGGCAATATCACTTTTAAAAGCAAGTCCGTCATTTTTTTTCTAATCGCGAGATTATGAACGTCGAACACATGTTTTGAGAAACTTTAATGTTAAAAAAATGTGTTCACTACGTAATCAATTTCTTGAAATACGTTTTGCCACTAAAAAGTGTCATTGGCGAGCTGTGACGTAGGCCATAGGCGTACGCAAAATGTGTGTGAGAAGCAGAAAGTACTGTAAACGTTCCCATTTTCTGCGTCATGGAGATTTGTAAATATATCTAGTATTTTATATAAATTTATAAAGAAAGGTTTTTTCAATCTAGCCTCGATTATTGTGGAAAGATAAGACAAATTGATACAAACTGCTGCGCAAAGTATGGGTGAAATTGAATCTCCCATTAAAGAGATGTTTGAGGACAAGCTGCGCCACGAATTTTTGGACCGTACTATAGTGAATGTGTATTGAGTCTGTTCACTTCGTCAACGCCTTCTCGCTCAGACTTTTTCTTTTCCGCCGGTGGTAGCACAGACAAGACAAAATGTCTGAACAAGAAATCTCTAAACAAAGGCAGAGAATGAGAAAAAGAAGGAGGAGGAGCAGGAGGAGGAGGAGGAGAAGGAAAAGGAGAACAACAACAACAACAACAACAACAACAACAACAACAACAACAACAACAACAACAAAAAACAACAACAGCAGAGAACAAGAACAAGAGGAGGGCCTCCTACCTTTCTCAGCTGGTTCTGCAGTCCATTCACTCCACAAATACGCAGAAGCATCCAAAGGGTCAAGGGTCGGAACCCGCGACCTATGGCGATCTGCCAGTGCTTCAAATGGGAGGAAAATAAAGAGAACTATGAGAACCATTTTGGCAAAGCAGAAATAAAGGTAACAAATTATCTTTTGGCGGGCAATCAACACATGTACATTCTCTTTTTAGTTTTGTAAGTGTTTTACGGCACTTGCAACACTATAAGATCATACTATAAGTAAGTGCCGAAGATTAGAGGTGTGACAAGAGAGTAACAAACATAAAAAAGGAGGGGAGATAAAGACGATAGATAGACATTTGCTAGGAAAGAAGAAGCAAACCACAGCAGAGTTCCCGCCAACCATCCACTTTGACGCATGCTCTATTGTGGTTTGCTTCTTCTTTCCCATCAAACATCTATCGTCCTTATCTCCTCTTCTTTTTTTAAACATTTGTTGCTCTCTTGTAACACCTCTAATCTAGTGGTTAGACTACCGAACTCGTAATCCTGAGATTGAGGGTTCAGGGGTTTTGAGCCTCAGCTCGGTCCGACGCTGTGTCCTTGGGAAAGACACTTTACACGAACTTCCCACTTGTCTCAGTCCTATCGGAGACGGATGTAAAACTAAGAGGTCCCACCCCTTAAAAAACCTAATAGTTTTGATAGGGGCGTTAAACCCATACCATTTTTTCTAATCTTCTGGCGCTCATATATGACCTTATTCAGTTGTGAGCGCCGTAAAACCTCTATTTAAACTAAACAAAACCCAGCCTCATGGTCTTGGTCTTGGTGACCAAAAACCGCCAAAAAGTCAGAGAGAACTTAGTGTAATTCTGAGGTACCGACCAGCTATAGATAGATCTAGCATGTTTGTCAAACTGTTCTGTATTGCTGTACTATCCTGTATTAAACTATGTATGTATGTATGTATGTATGTATGTATGTATGTAATTATGCATGACGTATTTCTAATATTTTACGTATTGATGATAGAGTCTATATTAAAATGTATGTCTGCATTGGTAACCCAATTTATCCCAAGGGGATCAATAAAATATTTGTTTGTTTATTTGTTTGTTTGTTTATTTGTTTGTTTGTTTATTTGTTTGTTTGTTTATTTGTTGATTTATTAATTTGTTTTGTTTATTTTATTTGTTTTTTTAAATGTATTTATCTATTTATTTGTTTTTTAAAATTTATTTATCTATTTATTTATTTATTATTTATTTATATATTTATAATTTATTTCTTATTTGTTTATTTCTTTAGTGTGTAGAACTCACCATGAAGTCTGGCATGTGCACGTCCCCTGTCTGTGCGGGTTCCTCCAGGTAGGCCGGCCCCATCCTGTAGGGCTCTGTGAGGAGAGAACTGTCCTGTATCCTGGGGAGTGGGGGGGGGGGGGGGGCGGAGCAAGCAAGTAGGAAGAAATGGTGAAATGGTATTGATTTAATTCTCCTATCAACACTATTAGGTTATTTAAGAGGTGGCGCCTCCTAGTTCAACGTCAGTCTCCGAAAGGACCGAGCCAAGTGGGACATTCGTGGAAAGTGCCTTTACCAAGGACACAACGTCGGACCGAGCTGAGGCTCGAACCCCCGAACCACAATCTCACGATTACGAGTCCGGTAGCCTAACGACTAGACCACCGACGCCCGGCAAGTAGGAGAAGATGGGACATTGTCGTGACGTGGCGGGATCAGGAGATCGTCCTTTTTTGGCCTTGTGGAGTTATTGGTGTCTTCTTGAAATTTGTGCATTTAATTTGTCTGTCGATCGATGGAAAAAAATCACATATCTACCTTGAATAGAAGTCAATATATTTGCTATTGATTGATTGAAGGAGGTCGTGGTTGTCTGGTTTCAGAGGTAAAATTAGCGAGAAAATGGCAGCCAAAGTTGTTGTTTTTTTAGGGTAGAGGGTTTTACGGCGCTCGCAACAGCATAAGGCCATATGAGCGCCAAGGGGTGGGTGTCAACAGAGAAGTCTATACAGGGAATCAGACTTAGACCGCTCACCTCTCTAGCTTCAACAGCACAAGGTCTGCTTCGACTATCAAGGCACCCCAAAATAGCAGGTCACAAGAGAGTGACAAACATACAAAAGAAGTAGAGGAAAATGACAATAGTAAGGATCAGGAAAGAAAAAGAAGCAGTTCCCTGTTGTAGATCAGGCACAGTTATGAGCGTGACATGAGTCAGCCCATTTACAATTTTACTGTGCCAAATGAGAAATGTCCCCCCTTTGGGAATGGCCTAAAGACACTTCAGTCAGTGGCACTGCCCCGGGGGGGTTGCCAACGTTAGGTAACATCTATCGCTTAAGAGTCTTAAGAGAAGGTGGGACCCTCAGGGAGCACGAGACAGGGGTAGGCCACGGGAAACGGACATGAGAGAGATGAAGCTCACTTGGAACGAGCTAGGAAGGATGGCCCAGAACAGAGATAAATGGAAGGAGCTTGTATGTGGCCTATACCCTGCCAGGGGTGAAAGGCGTTTATGATGATGTAAGATTCTAGTTTTAGTAAGAGTTTTACGGCACTTGCAACACAATAAAGTCATTTAAGTGCCGAAGATTAGAGGTGTTACAGGATAGTAACAAACACAAAAAAGAAGGAAGGGAGATAAAGACGATAGATGTTTGACAGGAAAGAAGAAGCAAACCACACCAGAGCACCCGCCAACCACACACGATGATGATGATGATGATGATGATGATGATGATGATGATGATGATGATGATGATGATGATGATGATGGTGATGATGGTGATGTAAGAGAGGGAAAAACTCACCACATGGCCGAGATGCCAATAGGAACACCGAGCCACTTGTAGGGGTCGATGACAACGGTTGTACAGTGCTGGGGAAAGGAAACGTTTGTTTTAGATGTGCACACACATACATACACACACACATACACACACATATATACACACACGTACACACTTACACAAACACACATATACACAAATACACACACATACACATACATACACACATATACACACACATACATACACACATACACCTACTCACGTACACACACATACACATATACATACACATACACACATACATACACATACACACATACACATATACATACATACACACACACGTACACACATACACATACACACATACATACACACACATACATACACATAAACACACATACACATACATACACACACATACATCCATACACATACGCTTCTCTGTGTTGTTGATTTATTATTGTTATTATTCTGCCTTTCCTTTCCTGCTTCTTCGTGTGTGTTTTTTTTTAGTTAATTAAATGTAGGTGGTTTTACACCCCCTTCCTGTCTGTTCGGGTCAACCTGGGCTGAGAGAGACACTACGTCACAGTAGAAAGACAGAGATACTATACTGTTAAAAAAAAAGAAACGCATAACCAAATTGGACACCGAGTATAATCGTATATATAGCACTGAATAACTTGATAAAAATGGGGCTAAGAAAATACGTTTTGAAATTTTAGTCATTGCTGTTTATTGATTATCAACAAAATTGAATTGATTTTGAACAAGCAATTGGATCCTCCAAAGGGCGGCCATTCATACTGGGTGTGGCCTCCTGCTGACTGGAGTACCGCTTGACATCTTCTGGGCAAGGAGGCGATGAGACGACGAATGTTGGGGAGTGGTATTGCCCTCCACTCTTCATCCAAGGCGGCAAACAGTTCATCAGGAGTGGCAGGGGCGACAACTCTGTTCCGGAGAAGTCTGTCCAAAACATCTCAAATGTGTTCTATAGCGTTCATATTCGGTGAATTTGAAGGTCATGGGAGTGTCTGGACATTGTTCCGAGCCAGAAAGTCTCTAGTTACTCTGGCAGTATGCGGTCTGGCATTGTCCTCCGGAAGATTGCCCCTGGTTGTTGAAGGGCATGTGGTAGGAGAACGTTGTTGATGTAGGCCTGGGCTGCCAGATTACCTTGTGCTCTCACCAGGTTGCTCCTGCGAGTGTGGTTGATTGCTCCCCACACTATCACACTGCCACAGCCATGCAATAAGGCCTGGGAGGTGCATCTAGTTGCGGACCTCTCATTTCGATGTCGGTAAACTCGACGTCGTCTGTCGTATCGAGAGATGAGAAAATTGGATTCATCACTGAACCATACGTGCCGCCAGTTCTGTAGCTTCCAGTTGACGTGCTGAGTGGCCCACTGCTGGTCCATCAACAATGTCCTTAAAGGTCGAAATGCGCGGAGCCCTCTTTCTCGGAGTCGGTTGTGTACTGTCTGGTCGGAAACTCTGATGACATTTCGAAGCGCTTGGACATTTGAAAAAGCAGGAAAAAAAGATCCCACAGGTGATGAAGCTGAATAAAGCGATCCTGGGCTCCAGTTGTTGCCCTTGGCTGTCCACTTCCCGGTTGATCGGCAGTGGAGTTGGACAGTTGAAACCTTGCAAAAAGTCAGCTGATGGTAGACTGTGACACGTTGAAATGTGTGGCAACACCAGTTTGACTTTCTCCGGCTTGCAAACGTCCAATAGCCTGGTTTCGCTCTTCTATCGTTCGTCGTGGCATGGTGTATCGCTGAACTGACAAGTGATGAAACCATTTTTTAGCCAATTATATAGCCACCCGGTGAATGAACTCACACGCCAAATTTTGTGCGACTACTCACAAAATTAGACAAGTTGTGAGCTTTTTAACACTCAATTATCACACAATTCGACAGTTTAGGCTGTGCCTACCTGTGACTGTGAGTAAACAATGAACTTTGTTGTGAAAAGTTCAAGATATGTGTGAAAAAAAAACTAGCATGCACAAAAACCTCATCTTTACATATTTTATTATCACGAAAACACAAGCACTTGGTTATGTGTTTCATTTCTTTGAAGAGTATAGATAACAATTTTCTCCCCTCTTGGGAATCAACACTAGATCTCTTGCTTATGAAAGCGAAGCTCTTAACCGCTACACCACAGATGCTGGTTCTCTTCCTCTGTATCCATCTGTTCTTTGGTTGTATGCTCTTTCATTGGATGCATCACTTTTTGCCGATGTAAAGAATGTAAATTAAAGAGAAATCAGTCAGGGAATGGCAATTTGTACGAGCTATTCATGATTTCCAGTTTTCAGTGTTCGTGTTTTCCGTGCCCAACTAAATTCATTTTTTTCGGGGTGAAATATGATTTTTTAAAAATAAAATGGATTTATTGTTCCTCTTTCATAGTTGTTAGATGACCCTAGTCGTGCTGATTAAGAAAATATATACTTTTGTACACTTTTGACTCAAAACACTAATGTTATGTCACTTTTAAGTCAAAATCTGTTGCAGGTTTCGTCAATCGCGGCCATATTGGCGGCCATATTTGGTCACATGACTTTGCATATTACGCAATGCATTGTTTATCATGTGGGCCATTACAAAACCTTTCAGGAAATGTACTTTTTTTTGGTAAGTGTTTTTACGGCGCTCGCAACTGCATAAGGCCATATGAGCGCGCGGGACACACCTAATATTTCAGTTGGTAGGAAATTTTGAATTTTGCCCGGGTGGCAGCCGAAGCCTACTCTTATCGATTTTAGACCACCAAGGGATCTTTAAAGCGCATCTTGCACATGGGCCCTCCGAGATTTATCGCCTTTGTCCGAGAAGGCTAGGTGTAGATCTTTCCTACCAGAAGACCAGGGGTGTGGCTGAAAGACTGCAGTAAGGAGGAGCCAAGGAGTAGCCGTAGAAAGGCTGCAAAAAGAGTCAGGAGCCCAGAGGAGGGGGCAAAGTAAGTGAGGGGGTGGGGGCAGAAAGTGGAAATGAAAGCAGACAACAGAACATTTCTAGAGAGCAGGAAAAGAGGTGAAAGGAGATAATTTTAGAGAAGAAAATTTTTCGGTCGCTACCCGAATTCGAACCCGGGACCTTTGAATGAAAGGCCAACACCTTAACTTCTAGGCCACGAGAGCCCCTTGGAAATGTATGATTATCATAATATGTTTTGCAGGCAACTTTTTCTTTGAACAAAGGAAAACTGTTGCTAAGTTGTCTTTCTCATGCCTCATTTTGGCACATTTTGGTGCCATCCTCTTGTCTAAGTAACTATAAGTAAGTAATTAATGATCCCCGAAAAAAGCCAAAATTCACAACAAAAAACGTGCATAACTTTTAACCGTTTATCCAATCTTCATGCTGTTTTTTTAAAACATTTTTCTCAGCTCCTTAAGCTCTATCTAGTGACATGCATTTTGGTCAAATTAATTGTTTTTAAATAAATTTTCGTGAAACCCTGCATTAAAATGACGAACGGGAAAATTGTAAACGGCGGATAGTGTTTTCTATTTTTCTAGTTTTTAAAAAAAGGCAAATGCAAGCACTTACTGAATAGATAGAAACCTAGCTTGGTCTTTGAACTACCTTCAGTAATGTTTTCATTGTTTTACATTCCGTAGTTTTTTTTTCAACTATAGAAAACAACCATCCACATGTACGCAATTGTTATATAGATTATTTAATATAGTGTAAAGCGCATAGAGCCTGCTGTTGAGCGGGGATATGCGCTATACAAATGCTATTTATTATTATATCTATCTATTTATGACTATTATCTACCGACTGACCTCCACGCCGTCAATCAGGTAGCGGCACTCAGGCAGCAAGGTGGCGCAGCCGGAGAAAGCAGCGTCTAGATGGAACCACAGGCTCTCCTCGGTACCTTAGACACAAGGTCGATCAGAACAAATTTAAACATTTTATATTGTTATTTTATTTTTGTCTAAAATTAAAACAATACTCTCCCTCCTACCCTGCTTACCAAAAAATGATCATGATGAAGATGATGATTACGACGACAACAACTACAGCAACAGTAACAACAACAACGACAACAACAACAACAACAACAACAACGACGACAAGCTTGATATACAGAACTCACAGATAGGCCCAAGCTCTGTTAAGTTGTCTGAAGCACAGACGGCTGTGGTTCCTACCGTGGCACACACCTGGGGTAAAGGAAAAGACAAAAATGCATGTGTGTGTATATGTGTGTGTGTGTGGGGGG